TAGCAAGCCAAGTTTTGTGGTTTAAGCAACAATGAGAACGTCAAATTTCAAATCTAGTTGTGAGGCTGTAAATGTCAACTCAAGTTTTCATAGTGTAGAAATTATTTTTTTGCTTTATTATATAAGAAGGCTCCTTTTCAGTTGAATAATTCAATTGGACAGTGTTGTTGGTAGAGATGGCAATTTGAACCCGGCCCGACGGGGACCTGACCCCCGACTCCGATTAGAATGGATTTTTCCCGAAAATAATCTCCATAGGGCCGGGGATGGTATTAAAAATTAAATCCCCGTTAATTTTTGGGCCACGGACGGTGATAAGTTTTCTGACCCCGGCCCCGGCCTCGGCCTCGACCCGGTCCCACCCTAAAATCCCCAATCAGGTCCCCCGTGTATATATATTTATATGTTTAGGCTTTATTGCTTCAATATAATATAAAGATATAATATAATATAATATATATTTATTGCTTTAGATGTCTCATTATATAGATATAAGTAATATCTATCTAAACTGTCTCTCTCTCTCACACACTCTCTCTCTCGTTCTACTCTTTGTGTTTGATCTGAGCCGCGATGGAGAGCATTTTTTAGCACCATCGTCGTCGTAATGGAGAGCATCTTCCAAATCTAAGCCGCGATGGAGAGATCGACAACGGAGAGCATTTCTGAGCACCACCGTGATGAATACATATATGTATATATATATTCCAATCGGCGAATCCGCGATGAATACATATATATATTCCGATCTGAGGTTGATGTTGATGATGATGAGATGAAACAGATGCTGTTTTGCTTTTGCTTTTGCCTTTTTTTTTTTTTTTGGCCGGGGAATTTTCGGGGACGGGGAGTGGGATCCCTGGCCCGCCCGGCCCGTTGCCATTCTCAGCTGTTGGCCCATTATGAGCCTATCACAGGACTCACTCTCGATAATTCAAATTGTTCATCTTGTAATGTCTTTCAAGAACATCACCCACACAAAAGATTACGTTGATCGAATAACCGCAACTATATGATGGAATAAGATTTATCTTAATGATCTACTCTAAAAATTATATTTGTTGTTTATTTCTTTTTAAGATAAATCTGATTTGATTATATAGTTGCGGTTTTTTAATCAATATGATTTTTTTTTTTTTTTTTTATAGATGATGTTCAATTATCGAGATAAATCTCATAATGGGCTCACGGTGGGCCGACAATTCCGTCCAGTTGATTATTCAACAGGAGAGGAGCTTCCTCCATTATATAAATTTCTTACTAACAAATTAATATTTACAATTACTTAAAGGCCCTATTTGTTTATTGTATATAAGGGCCGAAAAATACTTGCAACATTTGATTTATCATTCCCAAAAATCATCCCTAATGATATGTCTAACAAGTGTCAAATTTTAATTTATTAAATATTCCATCATGTGGGGTTTAACTTTAATACCATATCATTAGAGGTGGTAAATTAGGGGGACGTAGCATTGTTATATAAGGGTCGAATATGAAAAATATAAGGGTCGAATATGAAAATGAGACCAGATATAATATAAGGTGGTTATGTTTTTTTATTTCCTTATATCTTGTGTTTGGTTGCTTCAGATATATAGAGTTCGGATAATATATGATGGAAAATAGGGATATGTAATACTACCTCCATGTTTGACAAGTTGGTTTGTGTCTAAAATAGTCACAAAAGACAAAATAGGCTATTTTAGTCACAACAAACAAAACATCACATTCAACCCATAATTATTACACTCTTCTCTCACAAAAAAGCTAAAAAAAGTCAAAAAGTCAAAAAGCCATTCCCAAACTAAGCTTTTTAGCCCAGGCTAAAATAGTTAAAAAAGCTAAAAAGTCAAAAAGTCAACCCACTTTCCAAACGGAGGAAAAACTAATCATTCTTTTCTTATCCCATCCTATATATTATTGTAACTAAACATAGTATAACTGATCCCACAATATATATAATTTATCTCATATCCTATATCACATCGTTATTCTTATCTTTAAGTATTACATATCTTTCTCAAACTCTATGATTCGTTTGGGATGTGAGTTGGTTTTTTTACTATTTTAGCCTGAGGATAAAAAACCTCGTTTGCAATAGACTTTTTGATTTTTTTGACTTTTGTGAGAGAAAAAATGAAATGATTATAATTTAGATGTGACATTTTATCTTATTGAATTAAAAAACTTATTTTATCTTTTTATAACTATTTTAGCCAAAAAAAAAAAACCCCTTTAACTTATGCCAAACAAAGGCATATCAAACTGGGCCAAAAGAGTGTTACGTACAGTATGTATGTTACAAAAATCTTACCATAGCCAGACAAATTAAATTAAATTAAGTTAAAGATGCCAAACCATGGTTTTAATTAACAAATCTAAAATTTAATGAGGAGATTAAAACATTGAAGACATATTTTAAAAAAAATATTACATATTGATAAAAAAAAATTATAATTTTAGTTATTAATATTTGTAATATTTATCATTTTTTTGTATTTTTTTTTTCCTACATCACTGATATGTAATTTTTCAAATTTAATCAATATGTTAAATCCAACAGTTAGCAAAACCAGACACACATAAAATTCAAAGTATTTAACTCTCTGCTATTTGTTTATTATGTCTGGTAAAGTAGCATAACCAGCCAAAAAATGCTTGGAGTAGATAAGACCATGATTAACGTATTAGGTTTTCGTCCCTTTCTAATCACGTTTATTTTTTTAACTTTTAATTATTGACCCATCTAAAAAAAAAAAAAAAAAAAAAAAGGTAAATTACATTGACATCCCTGAGGTTTATATTTATTACAGTTCCCCTCATATTTTGGAAATTACATTCCCCTTCCTGAGGTTTAAAATTTCATTACAGATTATCCCCTAAGATTTAAAGTTTCACAACAATTTCCTCCCTCACCGTAATGATCATCATACATAAAATTAAATTAATAAGGATCAGTATAATTTTTCAATTGTGAAAGAGTAAACTGTAATAAATATAAATCTCAAGAATTATCATTGTAATTTACCCAAATAAAAATAATAATTATTGTCCTGTTTGGTTGCATGGTAAAACCTCGTGCTCTGCCCAGACTGCTCCCAAACAAAAAAAAGATACGTACCAGATTCAATGACACCATCACCATTGATGGTGCGCCGCCCCAAGTCAACAAATTTCTATCTCATAAATTGGGAAATTCTAATATACACTATCTTCAAAAACGTCACACCATTTACATTTCTAATTATGTTTTTTTTTTTAATTATGACTAATTTTCTTGTTTAGTCAAGACTTATGAGTTCTTTAATTATATCTCTAGTTATGATATTTTTTTAATTATAACTCAAAAAATATAAAATTATATTATTTTCTTCTAAAATTATAAGGTGTATATGATACACACTTTTAAAGAGTATATATTATAGTATTTTCCTAATAAATTATATAATCCCTTGATGGATGGATCTAATTTAACCTCTTTTTTTGTGTATTTTCTTTTTCAGCCGTCCAAGATTTTAGTCAAAGAAAATTAAAGTTTTGCTCACAAAAGTTAGAAATCAAAAAACAAATCATCAGGGTATGGATAGAGGTTTGGAATTTTTGCTTGCCTGAACATCCATAAAAATCCCAAACTCCCTTTTGTCCCGTGAGTTGGATTGTGTTTGAAAAGTCTCAAAAGCAAAAACAGAGGAAACAGAGAGACAGGAATTAGCCCCACCACTGGAAATTTTGAAATGGACATGAAACCATAAAGTATACATATATCTTGCTGTCACCATTTGGCTCAAGCTTGGAGAAAGCACATTGTTGCAAAATAAATCACAAAAATTAACAACAAATACGAAAAACACAATACACAAGTATATGTGATTTAAAAAAATTAATGTTCACAACTCTAGAGATCACTTAACTTAATTGATAATGAGTGAAGGAATCTTTAGAGTGTATGGACCAAATTTGAGTAACTTATGAAGCAATTTTAAATAAGGCTAAGAATTACGATTTGAGTCTTACCAATTCAAATCATATAAATAACTTCTCTGCACATAAGATATGGCTGATGATATGGAAAGAACAACCACCCAATGCAGCATTTTCCATATTCAGACTTTCCAAGCATGTAACACAACCACTCACTACCACTTCACAGGCACATCCAAAAAAAAAAAAAAAGTGTGTTATGTCTGTGTCCAAACCCACAACCTTACATGTCCTAGATTGCCGACCATGGCCACCGCATGCATTATGCATAGCATACCTTTTTTAAGTCCACCAATGTTATCATCATGTGTTGTTTGTTATAATGTCCTTGCTGCTGCTACTACACTACATCAGCACACTCTCTGGTCCATCAGATGCTTATGTTATGTTGCTCATGCTTGGAGCCCATCATGGTGTTGGTGGTCTGACTCTTTGATAAGAACTCTTTTCTGTTTGTATGTATGTAGTTTAAGTCTGCTACATTAGTTAGTGAGGCCAATTTTAAATTCCCTTGCTTCATGATCTTTACTATATAGTTATCAAATTAGTTGGGATGTCTGATAACCTAAACTTGCTTGATCTTTAATTCTATACTTTATTTTCCAACTACTACCAATCTAAAATTTAGTATAAAACGTCAGCCTATATTCAGTTTAGTCAATATACTATATTTAGAGACTTGGAACTCGGCCATTAGTACAATAAATTGTACCGTTTGAAAAATAGTCACAGAAAAAATCATAGATATGTGTATAGAAAAATCAATGTGTGATTGAAATTCATTTTGTGTGTTATCCCCACCCATATTTAGAATTAATTTGAATCACACATTAGTTTTTTTTTGTCCACATGGTATTATTGATTAAGAAATTTTGAAATTTATACAAACAAGACCAGATATCAAAATGGTTTTGGGGTTTTTTTTTTTTTTTTTTTTTTTTTGTTGATGCATGTTGGAGACAAAGAATTAGGTAGCAAGAATCACCATCCTTATGCAATCAAATATTCTCTCAATATACATATGGATTTGTACAAGAATATATATATATATGTATGTATTTTATGGGAATTAGCAAACAAGAGGACACCTTGAGAGACAAACTTGCCAGCCTAGGCAGGTTTTTTCAAATTTAAACAAAGGAAAAGAGCAGACACCAAAAAAAGACACCATTGTTTGTTCCAAGAACTGATGAGCCCCGAGAGAGAGAGAGAGAGAGAGAGAGAGCACAAAAGAACCAAACAACATCTTTTACTACTACTTTACATAATTTTGGACAACCTAATACAGACACAATTAGCCAATTATAATTAAGCATCTAATCAGAGTCTTAACTCAAGCACAAACCATGATATAGACTTGAAGCTAGTAATTAATTCATTAATTACTCTGGTAATTACTAAGGCTGTTGAAATGTTCTTGATTAGTGACTGAGCTTAACTGTTGGTGATGATGGTGAAGATGAAGATGTTGGAGATGGCCAGAACTGTGCGTTCTTCACCCTGGAAATGCTTGTGAGTACACCCAATGGTGTCACATCTCCGATGATTGTCACTTTCTTTGAGGCTAAATCTATGCTAAACGACGTCACTCCTGCCCCAAAAAAAAAAAAAAATCCAATGTCATTGCTTAAATTATATTATATTAGTGTCACCCATTACGATTATGTTTAGATTTAGGGTTTGAAAAGGAAAAGTGAAACCAAAAAATCAATTTAATTCATTCACTTTTCCTTTCTTTTTCTTTCCTTCACAAATCTCTACTAAAATTATTGATCAGACTGCAGAGATAACAATAACACACTACCCAACTAATAAACAACGAAAAAAAAAAAAAAAAAGAGGATAAAATCAAAACGATTGAACACGCAAGATATATATGATGAAAACAAATGGGATGTGAGGTGCCAGTGTCAGGCCAAAAGCTTAGATGAGAGAATGCGTTCTTCACGTATGAGAGTGGGCGTACAAGTTGTAATTCAAGTTTTGGCGCTCAAACTCTAGTTTTGTTTTTGAAATTATTTCTCTAATAGTGAAGACGGCTTCTCTCGTAGATGTAAGCAAAATTTTGTCAAACCACGTAACTCTGGCCAGTTCAATCGTGTTGATTTCATCTTTATTTCTTTTCATTGTTATTGGTTGCGTCGTGTGTTATTTTTCTGAATCGTGGCTGCTTGTGCTTGAACCCTCAACATCAAGCCAATTACAAACTTTGACATACAAAAGTTTACTTACCTTCCATTCTTGAGATGTGTTTTCTGACTTTGCCTTCACACCCTTTGCAATGTATTGACACCCTCAATTCCACAACCTGCAATAGCTTAAGACAATAGCTTGAGGAAGTACAAACAAATACCTTATAGATTAAAACAATAGCTTGAGGAAGTACAAACAAATACCTTATCACGAGAGTGTGAGTGTGTTGAAGAAGATTTTAAAGACGGAGAATCATTAGCGCTGCTCAGGTGGCGCGTTGAAGAAGATTTTATAGACGGAGAATCATTAGCGCTGCTCAGGTGGCGTGTTGAAGAAGATTTTAAAGACGGAGAATCATTAGCGTTGCTCTGGTGGCGCGTTGAAGAAGATTTTAAAGACGGAGAATCATTAGCGCTGCTCAGGCGGCGCGTTGAAGAAGATTTTATAGATGGAGAATCATTAGCGCTCAGGTGGCGTGGTGTCAAGCTCTGTCTAGGAAGTACCAATGCTTTGACATGATCTGAATCCGATACCACGTTGAAGAATGGTGTGTCACTCAGGAGATACCTAGAGGAGCCAGGAGGACTAGTCAGTTCATTTATGTCACTCTGCTTAGCAGAACTCTTTCGGGTTCTCTGATAATAAGGTTTTGGATCAATGGGTAGTTGCGAAGTACAAGGGACAGGAGGAATTAGGCCTCTTCTCCGATCACCGCCACTGACATGGTGGCTGTGGCGGCTGATTGGCCTTGTGCCATGGCGGATCACGGACCGTTGATCCAAGCTTGAACATATGGCTGTGGAGGCTGGTGATGCACAGAAAAGGTCCATCCTTTTCATGGTTATGAAACCAAAGGGAATACTCAAGATAGAAGAAAATTAATGGTTATATGCACAAGTATTTGGAACTGAGAGCAAGAGAGACCATGAGAAAGAGCTTCAAAATGAAGCCTAAGTTGATCTGCTTATAAAGGAGGGGATTGGAAAGAGGGAGTGATTCAGGGGAAAAGAAAAAGATGCAAAGCTTAGGTCCACCAAAACTAATTAATGAATAATTAAATTTTGGAGGGTGTTACTTTGATTTATCTAGACCATTAAAGTTGTGTTCACCCTTTTTTTTGGCTTTTGGAGGGAAGGTTAAATCAGTTGGGTTCATTTTGGTGATCTTTGTGTGATATGATTACTCCCACTAATAGTAGCATATTGGGGCCAAATTTCAAAACTAAGTACTCTTATTATTGCCACATTATTGTTTTGGAGAAAGACTGAATTGACCAGTTAATGCATAGTCATAGGCCAAGGTCACTTGACTCACAAGAGTCTACTTCAACATATGAGTAATTATTTAATAATTTGGCTGTATCAATTTACAATTTAGTATATTAATATGGTGTTTTCAATAATTATTTAGTAACCTCGAAATATCAATAAGAATGATAGACATAAGATTGGTGGAGCCAACATGACCCCACATTAATCGATTGGACGAGAGATAAGATTGGACTTATTCATTCCTTTTTAAGTGCCTTTATTTGTCAAGAACACTACATGCACATGTTACAGTGAAACTATCTGAGATGAGTGAATCACTTTCCTTTCTTGGCTAGCTCGAAATTCCCTCTCGAAAAGGGACAGTTTGAAATAAAAAGTTCTAAGTGTACCAAGTCCAATCACAAAACCGAACATAACTCGTTCCCATGAGATGAATCCTACTAAATAACTGAGTCCTACCTTATATATATGTCTAATATTATGATCAAATTTGTTTCTGTAAAGAATAGTCCTGAAATTAGTAGAAATTAATATGAAAGTTATTTTGAATTGAATTTTACAGAAAGATGGTGTCAGTTTAAAAAATGTATTTGGTATTTGTTCATTGCTCAACTGGTGGAGGTCATGCTTGAAATATTAAAGATGGAAGATACCGTGTGGATGAGGTTTTCAGAAAAGAAATATATATTTGAATGTTTTACTTTAGGGTAAATTACATTTACCTCTTTTGAGATTTCTGATAGTTATAGAGACTTTTTCTTCTGTGATTTCAATAATTACACTAACCTCCCTTATTTTTGAAACTATTATCAAAATTATCTCAATCTGTCAAGTTAGTATAAACGACCTTAGTTGGGTGTGAAATTGATTTGTACGTGAAAAAACAAAAATAACCATAAAAGAAAAATATATTTGAATGCTTTACGTTAAAACTTTAAAGAACATCCACATAATTATAGGACTGAATGTTATTCCATTCTAACCTTGGAAGCAAATTGTTTAGGCTTATTATTATTATGCATAAAACATGTGACTATTATTCACTTGAATTCGACAAGATTGGAACATTTAAATAAAGTATCATGTGACTGATGGTAATTTTTGTCCTAATCCGACTATCATTTAAATAAAGTATGATGAACAGTGAACTAGGAGTCATGACGAAAACATCAACAGAAATTCATGACAAAACATCAATAATTTAACATGAACACATTGTAAAAAACTATATTAATTATCTACTTTTATATGGCGTAGAGTTAAAAGAAAAGATGTTGAAGAACTAGACTTTAAACCTCAATTTCTGGATAATAATTGGATGAGACAAAGCGACGGTCAAATAGTCAGCAATGGTTTACTGTCCTAAATTCAATAGAATGAAAAAAGAATAATAATGAAGATAATCAGGAAAAAAAAAAAAATTAAGGATGATTTAAGGTGGGGGCACATGTATCTAATACAGCTAACAATGCGCAGAAAGGCATGTGATGTTACCTCATTACTTGTCTCTTACCTAAATTCCTAATACTAATTAATCAGTAAGTATCACACAAGTTACATATACTCTGCATCTGTATTCATATATGTATAGCCTTTTATTTTATTTTTTTGAACTGATATATGTATAGCTTATTTGGTAGGTGTTTGCTGTGAAGTAGATATAAGAAAGAAAAAATCAAGAGGTTCATTGAAAACTAATGTGTTTTTCGAAAATGAAACGAAAACACAAATGAATTACTCAATAAATTTGATCTACTTGAAAATTTGAGAAGAGGATTTTGAGTAGTTGGTCCACTTTTTGTGGAAATGAGCCCCATTGTCTATGGTGGAAAAAGTTACAAAGTGAGTGAATGAAGAACTTCAAGTACCATTAACTGTCCCCATGTTAGTGCAATAAATCACAGCCAAAATCATCACCATATCTTATGTACAAAAAGGAAAGAGTTAAAGTGAGTGAATGAAGAACTTCTCGAACCCGCCTTTAATTTTTTTGTGACAATCAATGAAATTCGAACCCTAATGTCCACTTCACAATAGTTGTCATATTACCTAGCTTGAACCGATTAATTCAGTAGGATTTGCCCAATTAGAGCACTCCCTGTCTTCCCTTCCCTTGTTCTGTTCCAGGTCCATTTAGAGTTGGATCCGGGTCTAGGGTATGAGATCCAAGAGAAGTTACCAAAATAATATTTTTGGGCAAAGTAAGTCTAAGTTGTTTTTGCCTACTTTCAAATGCATTAAAAGAGTATCTTTGAACTGTTCCCAGTATCTTGTTGGCAATTAAGCTTGCATATCGAAATCATTTCACATGTCTGTAATATACTATATATCTATATACTTATGATAAAGTGAACTGTTTAAACCTGTTACTGTGAGAATTTTGTAATTCTTTGCAATGCTCTTGAATAATTAATTATTGCAATTCATTGCACAGACTATCGAATAATTAACTATTAAACAATGAAGAAACATATACAAATTCAATTTTGATGAATATCAAGTTGGCTGTGATTTGTGAAAGCCACCATCTTAAAGTATATGTAGACTGCAGAGGCATAAGTGGTTTAGATGCCAACATCTTGTTTGGTGCTGTTTCTAGTAAGCTAAAAACTGATAAATAGAAATCAAATGTTATTAGAAGTACTTCTTCCCCTGCTTCCAAATAACCAATTTTTTCACCTTATATAAATTATTCATACCTCATAAATTACAAGCAGAAGTTACAACAAGTATTTTGATACATATTTTCAAAATACCAAAAAAAACTTATAAACAACTCCATAAAAACTGCACCAAACAGACTGCTTGTATCATTTCGAAATTCTCAAAGGCAAGAGTTGGCCATCTCAGCTAACAAATTGCCAACATTGCTGTTCAGGATCATCAAATAGAAAGAGGTTCTCATTCTTGCTTGTTTACATTGGTATCATCTAGTACTTTGATAGCGTGGCCAGGAATCATCTATACCCAAAATTTCGATTTTCTATACCTAATGCACTTCCAATTATACGAGGAGAGAATTTTAAAACACAAGAATCACAAGACATGATACTGCGACTGTGTTTGATGAAAGACTCGAATCCCCAGGATTATAACCTTGTTTATTAGTGTTCCATTGCTACATCAGAGGGAGGATTGTAATGATGAATTTGGCAAATGGCTGAGGTGTATTCCTTTACGGGTAGGTCCTCCAGTTCCTTCCTTTTTGTGACCTTTCAAGTGGGATGTTGTAAAAAGTTAATGATAATCATAATTACACTCCCATGATCACTTCTTGATTAGCACTAAAAACCACTTTACCTGGTTGACTATGTTTGTTACATTCTGTAAAAGCATCTATAACTAACTATAATCCTTTTTAACTACAATTGATTTATCATGAAAATGTTCTTCTATTTGGGCCCGAAACCTAATTGCCATGATTATCAGAACTTCAGAAGGTTTTGTACTTGGTTCTCTGTGGGTGGGCCAAGATTCAACTGTGATTGATTTTAATCCCATTGTCCATAACGCTGTTCTGTTGTGACTTGAACTCTATAGATTTGAAATACAAAAACATTTTCTACAAAAACAAAAAAAGAAACCATATACAAGTCTACTTTAAGTCTGTTTCCATAATCCAAACCATTCATCTTATAAGTCTCGCCAAGCAAATTACTCATCCAAAAAATTAATTTGATTAGATATTAGTAACCACGTGACTAGAAAATATTTGTCTTCCAAAAGTGAACGGTAAAAGGGTCTATTTTTTTAAGATAATTGCGACTTGTGAGTCTAGAATAGACCCAGAACCCACTAATTGAACCTCTCTTGTCAAATTAAGGATTGTTCAATTAAGAACCAGAAAAGCTCCTTTTTTTTTCCCTTCTTTTTTTTTTTTTTCTAACATATTTTTGTATTGTGTTAGCCATCGAGATGAAAATGTGGCAAAAGAATTTCTTCATAGCTCAAAACTTATACTACAATGTTTGAGTCTAGAATTTGACAAAGGAAAAGGTAATACTTGTACCTACCAATTTTCCCATTGGTAATCAAACATAGTAGCTACCCAATTACTTTGTACCAACCCAGTTCCTAAGAAATCCCTATTTATTTTCTTCTTAACTTTCATGTCAACCAAACAAAAGCAACAAGTATATCATCTCTCATTTCATTTTCATGTTTCTTTATATATCATTATTTATATAGAGTTTCTGAGAAATTCATCTCTCATATATATGTACTAGTTTTTTCTGTACCAAACATTTCTTTAAACACTTTATCCAGTACCCTTTCAAGAAATTGATAATCAAATTGCAATGTGGGGTCTCAATGAAACCATTTGTTTTCTAATCACGCGTTTAAAGCTGTGGGGCTTTCTTTTTAGTGGATGGATTAAGAGCCCCTTTATTTGATCTTACATTTCCTACTTTTCTTTTTCCCATTTTTTTTCTTCTTTATCTTTCTCTTTAATAATTAATTAATTGAAATTCAATGGTTTCTTATTGTGACCTGATGGTGAATCAGGTGATTGTGTCTATCTTCTTTTGACAGTTTCTCTGGAAAAGAATGCATTCCCTTCTTTTATCTCTGGCATTTGTTAAATCTTTTTCTTTTGTAATGATAAAAGAGTACTACCATGGCAACAAGACCATGCTCAACAGGAATTTTCCTGTGTCTAACAGGTGCCATGTGCTACAAGTACAAAACGCTGCTACAAGAAGAGGAGGGAATTAAAACTTACGTTTTGAAAACAAGTATTTTATTTATTTTATTTTTTTTGGTTTT